TGGTCTGCCCTAAAGCTGCCATAGGCCTCAACACAGAGGCCTAGTTAGAAAGCCAAGAAAAATACAGATCCAATGAAGGTTGGTTGCTTTAACATATGCTGGTCTGGTTCTAAATCGAATGATTATGCGCTGCTCAGGAGAGAGACTTAGGGACTTCAAGTCAAATGATTTCAAAAGTTTAACTTTTTTTGCCATATAGCTGTGTTTAGATATTTGTTAGTTAAACAATCTAATTGCTTGTTTACACTTAGTTTATTTTACGTCTGCTGGGTGTCTAGTATGGTGGGTTTAACAGTTTAGCATGGTCAAACTAACACAGCATTATTTTGCAGGAGAAAAGGTTTCCCCACTGACGACCATTCAAAAGTAGTTGTGTTTTGTGTTGAAATAGTGAATGTTTAACCAGTGCATAATTTTTGGTCTTTTAAAAGCAGCTCATGTAGAAACTTTTCCGATACTCACTGCTGATATTCAGGCTTTACTTTACAAACAAACGCCTCAAATTTGGGATTTGTTTTGATGGGTGACTTGCTTGATGCTGGGAGCACAAGGAAATACTTCACTGGTAACACACCTGGATGGAGTTTATATCAGATTTTGAAGGTATAATGTAGCCGCTTTTAATCCATTTACATTTTCTCACTTTGGAAACTGAATACAGGTAGTTTCCAAACGTTTCCCTTCCTCTCTGTCCAGTTATATCTGTTTGTGTGTGTAGCATAGGTCTGTTGGATCAGACTTAGTTCAGCCTGGCATTTATTTGTGAGTATTTCTGAATTGGTTTAAGAGCAGTTGCTTCTGAGAACAGTAGATTATAATGGAAGTAAGAGCTTATTATAGGATATCTATGAACAACTACAGGCTCGCATACGTATTGTTCTGGCATAGATTTCCTCTTTGCGGTTCCTATTTTTTTCTGGTTTTAACTTTAATTCCAGGTGCGTGGGATGGACAAACGGAGTGATCCCATAATCCCTCAAAAGCATGCTGGCTTTTCTTCAGAAACTGAAGCCAAAAGGAGCTCTTGGGCTATACTTGGCCCAACCAAACAGCTGAAGATACAGCACTGAAACATATAACGTTTAAAAGCAAATCGTTTTAGTACACAAATAGCTGTCTGAGCAGGTTTCTGAAAGGCTGATCTATGGGTTGTGCATCGATGAAGTTTTATTATACCCTCAAGAAAATTGGGTAATAGTTAATGTAAATAGCATTATTGTATAAATGGGTGTTACTTCAGGTAAGGGGACTTTTGACCCCATGGACTTTTAAGAATAAACTCCTTTAAAACACACTTTTCCCATTCTCACTAGATTTCATTTGTCCAGTCCAGTTCAGCAGTGAATATACATGCATCACATCTGAGTTCTTTTTCTGAACCCACATGTACAAATGTCATTTAGATTAACTTAGTACATGACACGAAATGACAGTTGTGAAAATAACTTATGCAGTAGCATTTTATGTATTATAAATACAAACAGTAACACACTTTTCCCATTCTCACTAGATTTCATTTGTCCAGTCCAGTTCAGCAGTGAATATACATGCATCACATCTGAGTTCTTTTTCTGAACCCACATGTACAAACGTCATTTAGATTAACTTAGTACATGACACGAAATGACAGTTGTGAAAATAACTTATGCAGTAGTATTTTATGTATTATAAATACAAACAGTTAAATTATATTTTCACACTTTTTGCATACTTTGACAAAATAAAAGCTTTAAATGATTCACAAGTGTTCACAAGTGATATATTCCTCACAAATAGCAAGTCTCATATTTCATTAATAATGTTTGTTGCACTTTTACTTACTTTTGTTTAGGATATAATGGCTTTTAAAATGTCATTATAATCATTTTATACTGAAAGTCAAGGGTAAATAAATACAATGGTAAGTGTGAATACAGTTCAATACAGTCTAATGTTTATTGTGACCTTCATGTAATAAAAAGACAAGTGTTTGTGACTTTGCAGACAAGTGTTTGTGACTTTGCAAAGCAGAAGATGAATATCATGGAAGGTTCCCGATGTTCTTTCATTTTTCCCACTGAAGCTGTTAATGAACTGTTGCTTTTCTCATAAACTCCCAAGTTCACATGAGCATAAAGCAGTTGAACAAAGAAAACACAAATAAGGACAGATTATCAGTGCGTGCTGAGTGACAAACAAAATCATCTGCTACATAGAATATTTATAAGTACTGTATATTGTATGTTTTGTTAATTCTTTACTGTTTGTGTGAATTTGTGTTCATTACTGAGTGTGAGAATCTCTTAAGAGACTTTCAAAAGCACTGTGACTGTTGCAGGCACTTTGGCAAACTCATGTACATGTATCTGGGAAAGTTTTTGTCTGGAATATCTGGCCCATTTTAAGAGAGATTTTATTTTCTTGCAAGTCATAAACAATTGGGTGGTGGGATTTTGAATCCAGTGGCAGAGTGGTTTGGACATGCTTGTGATCTCTTTTGGACTGTAAGTTTTATTCTGACCATGTTCACATATCCAGATTTGATTATAAAACATATACTGGATGTGAGTAAGATACTTAAATGAGCAGTTCAGATTTTATTCAATTGTTAAAGTTTATGACAGACTGGTATTAACTTTACTATCAAGCTGTTAGTGTGAGAAAATGTAACTTTTTCAGCAAATCTTGTGTTTAACCATTTATTCGGATGCCATTAAATTAAAAGGGCAAAATAAATGTCAGCTCAAGAGTTCTAGCTCTGTCTTCCATTATGCATTAAAATTTCCATTCAAAGAATTGATTCCTTCAAAAGGAAGACTGGCAGTTGTTGCATGGTCAAGTAACAGCATCCATAATGCACATCATATGTTCTCGTGAGATGATTTTTTAGCCAAAGCAGTTTGAAAGGGTGTAGGCCTGTATTTTGTCAGTGGCTATTTTTTAACCAGCATATAAAAATAGCAAGAGTAAAACTGAAACCATGCCATCTAACATACATCCACAAAAAGACACAAGTCCCTTTCAACTTAATCAGATATTGTATACTAATGAGATTGATTTGTATGGAAGCCCATTACCACCACATTAAAAAAAAATAAGAATTAGTAAGGCAACTATTTTTATGAGATAAATAGTCAAACGTTTGAGGAAAAGATAATAATTATTATGTAAAATTTATAATCAAAGTTTTGTCAAAAAGTCAGTTGTTACATAATTATGACATAAAAAGTCATAATGATGATTTTAACCTTATGTCATAATTATACATTTTTGACTTTTTATCTTATCATTTTGACTTTTTTTATGTGGTGGAAATTAGATTTTATATATTTGCAATTGCATATGAATTAAGCAGATATAGAGAGAGCTCTATAGAAGTGAAGAGTGTCCAGTTGTTCTGTCTGAGTGAACTGGATTGCAGTCCATGGTGAGCTTGATTTGACTGTCGGCAGGTGTTGGTGCAGACAATAATACATTAAAGAGGAAAGAATAAAGAATAACAGCATTGCTGCTTTTATTACACTTATAATTGCACACACACACAACATTTTGGCTTTAAAGCCTTTGGCCACCAGTTCATCCGTCATGTCTTAGAAGATCAACTAAAATGCTTAATTAAATAACAGAACGAGGGCAGCTCCTCTGGACATTCTGTGACCTTCAACACTCCAACAGTGATGCTGGCACTGCCACCAAACAGGACATCTGCATTCAGACAAGCATGAAAAAACAGCACACTTTACAACAGGTCATGTTACTGATGTCGTATGACCTGATCATTTTCATGGACAGTTATCCTCACATATTCGCTATTGCCATGTGTGTCAAAAAGTTATTAACAGAACAATGAACATTATCTGTTTTTTGTTTTTTTTCTACAAGTGTCTGAGAGATTATTCCTATTCCTCTACTGTCCAATTTACAGTTTGAATATCTCATATCCAAGTGATGGTTTTTAGCATAAGGTGTGAATTGATGAGGAAAGGAAGCACAAATTGATTTACCACATCTTCAGCTTGATATCACAACAATAATATTGTTGTTAATATTTTTCATATTTAATATGTAATATTTGTTTTGCAAAAGCATACCTCCCCATTTTAGGCCAGCAAATCAAATTGGACCTTCTGAGAAAAGTTGAACTACCTAGTAATTATTTAAAGGATAAACTGAGTATATTGTGCTTGCTATTTCTGCTTATATTTCAGCTGTTATCCAATATTTTTAGTGAGTGAGTGACGTGACATGTGGCCAAGTATGGTGACCCATACTCGGAAATAGTGCTCTGCATTTACCCATCCAAAGTGTACACACACAGCAGTGAACACACACACCCGGAGCAGTGGGCAGCCATTTATGCTGCGGCACCCGGAGAGTAGTTGGGGGTTCAGTGCCTTGCTCAAGGGCACCTCAGTCATGGTACTGAAGGTGGGAGGGAGCGCTGTACATTCACTCCCCTCACCTACAATCCCTGCCGGTACGAGACTCGAACCCACAACCTTTGGGTTATGAGTCCGACTCTCTAACCATTAGGCCATGACTTCCCATTTTGCTTACTTTTACAATCGCTGATATCTAATAAAGTGTATTTCTGTACACACTGTTGCTGTTTTAGGCCCAGTCTTTGGCCAAAGCTCTGAATTTGGCTGTTCCACCCCACTGAAAAATCATTATAACATAAAATGGTGTTTCATAATCCTTCTGGGCTGATAAGTGCACCCTGGTTACCATGTCACTTTTACCATCTGCAGAATATTTGCTGTGGGTTTGGGCGACGTGCCTCACAGTCTGGATGCCCTCAGCTTTCCATTACTTTACTAACACTATAAAATATAATTGTTAGGTTGAGTACAAATGAATGGCTTCTTTTGTATTATTTACATGATTTGTATTTTAAACCTCAAATATTTCTCTAGAATATGATGGTTAGATCTGCATGTGTTAACTACAGAAGATAAATCTAGGAATTTAACACAATAAATTCCAAGCTGAAGGTTTTCTAATTTGTAATTTTCCTGCAGCCCTGAAACGCTCATTTGAAGTGGAAGATGTGGACTCTTCCTCGCACTCTTCATCGCCTCACACACGGCGAGCACCATCCAATGTTCAGCGTTCAGCCATGTCCCCGACCAGCGGACGGTATTATGAGCTGGCCTCCAATGGTACCAAGCCCCCTGACATCTCAAAGCCCAAAGCTCGAACCCCTGAACCTGTGTCACGTAGAACAGAGCTAGGCTTTGACATCTCATCCAACAACAATGGCAAAGCTATTGAAGGCTCTCCCAGGTAAAAAACTAAAACATGTATAGTCACATGTATAGACACAATGTCCCTGTCAGTTACTAGATTTGATTGGTAAAACCAAAATTGCCTTGTGTGGCATTGTCTAGCAATTCCAGCTGTGTGGTCTTGCTGTGGTAAATGTGAGAGATGAAAAGTAAGCTCTGTAGTTCACAAACAGAATAAAATAAGACTAGACTCTAGCCTCTTAGCAGACTGGTTTCAATATTGCTCAAAAGTCAGAACATGTAAGTGTAAAACTGCATTGGTCTTGCAAGTTCAGGGGCCTCATGTATAAAACTTTGCGTAGATTTCATCCTAAAAGTGTGTGTACACACAAAAGCTAGATTTTGCATACGTACAAACGTTTTCAGATTTATAAAACCAAACGCAAAAATCCCTTTATAAAACCCAGTCAGCGCAAGATTGTGTGTACGTGCATCTCCACCCCGACTCCTCCCAGAAATCACCATATATTGGAGCTTACAATGCCTAGTTTTACTATGCATAACCTCATCTGCATATTATTTCCATGCATATTCCATCCACGTGACACCATGTTTAACGCAGTTAAGGGTATAATACATTAGGAAAATATGAGATATGGACTATAAATGCTTTTTGAGACATCACGCTATTCAGTCAAAGTTTTCAGTGTTGCTCTCATTCTTTTCCACTGGCCAAATAGTATTTTAAATGGTTTTAAACAAATCAAATTTATGCAATTTTGCCTATAAGGTAAATATATATTTTAGAATGTTCATATATTTTAATGGAAAGAGATAGGCCTTATTTTTTTGCAGTGTAAATAACTGTCTGGCTCACCGCGTCAACGACAAAACATTTTGAAAATAAAACACACAAGTCTTTTTCCTTCAAGTTCTATCTTTTAAATACAATGGTGTTTGTCACAATATTGGGAAGAGCATGAAGGCTACTGTCTGTGCGCGACTCCTGTGAACAGAGGTTCTAGAGTACTGTCATCAAACCTGTTCAAACCAGCAAATGGACTGTTTGATCAAAGAGCGCATCCTTATGTCTGTCTTTACCATCTTTGTTCCAAAGCCATCAGACAAAGTCAAGTTCACATCAATGATTATTATTCGCGCAAAAGTATTTTCTCAGAACATGAGTTTTGCTATTTAGAACACAATTTAAAGCGGAATTGTCATGTGCCAAGCAATCCTCGCTGTGATTAAAACATTAAATCGCATACCACAGGAAAATTGTTCGAAAGCCGCACAACCGTACTGCAAATATTTCTGTTTAAATTCATATAAAAATGTTAATTTCTGGATAATAATTTCATGACATTTCAGTGCTTAACTTCATTATTGAGAGTGTCATATTTAATCTACATTTGAATGTCAAATGTAAAACAGACTTTAAAATCATTCTGTTTGCTTCGTTATTTCGCTCCCTCCAGCACATATTTATGCCTAGTTTATTTTTTATAAATCCCGATATGTGCGTGGAAAATTGCTTACGCACAAAATGGGCATGAAAATAACATTTATACATGAGGCTCCAGTTGTTCCAGTTTTCTCAGGATTTACAGCAGCAACCCGATTTTCATTAAGGGTGAGTTAGATCTGTTTTTGGATTGAAATATGCATTATACAGCCGTCGGTTTCTTTTTGTGTGTCACTGAATCTCCACTTAACCAATTTGTTCAAAAATACTGATTCATTTAGGAATAGTCACTACTGTGTGTTACTCTGAGACACGTAATGATTTTGATTCTGCTTTGGTTTTGTTCATTCAAAATTATATTTGTCAGTGGAGCAGAAATATTAAAATAAAAAGAGATTTAAATATTGGTTTTATATGTAAAAGTTAAACTTCATAAGTATTCACTATTTGACAATTGGTGGCAAATTTGTACAATCTCCTTTTTGTACAACTTACTCTTGCTGCCCCGAGGGTTGGGTTTAGGGGTGGAGCTTCATGGTGACATTTTTTCAACAAATCATAAATTTTTGTTTAAGTCAGACTTTACTAATTCATATGAAATCACCAACTTGTACAATACTTCTGAATTCACACTGAACAGTTTTAGAAACCAGAAATTAGTACTGAGTGACTTTAAACACCAATTTTTTTTGGTTTGTTTCTGCTCGGCCAACAAAAATAGTGCTGGACAAGCGGAATTATGTCAACAGTGAAAAAGTGATACAAACAGTCACAGTGCTGTTATATGAAATATAAGCACTCTTGACCAATCTGAAGAACTTACTGTTGTATAATGCAGATTAGTCATAGCTTGTGTAATGGATGGAATGAGATCTAAATTAACTAGATAAAATGTTATTGTGTCCTAGTCCTGGCACGGCTCGGTTTGGGCTGAGGAGGCCAGATGTCTTGAGCCACAGTAAGACGCCTGAGACGCAGAAGCACTCAGTCACCTTCAGCAAAATACTGGAGACCATTGCCCCCATCACACGTTCAGCATCTACCATCATTCCTCATGCCAGTGCTAAACTCCCAGAGACCACCTTCAGGAAAAGCGAGCCACCAAGCCCTGCAGATGGATCAGCAAGAAAGCCTGAAATCAGTGTCACCAAATCAACAGACACCAAAGGTCATGACAGTCTTCACCATCCACCAGTTACAACAAGGTGTCCATCACCTAATCACGTTGGTCGGAAATCCCCTAGTTCTGACAGGCAAAGTAAGTACAATCCAATTATTCAAATGTAATTCTCCCAGAATAGAGGAATGACGCTCTTAGAAAACCACACAGCTGGTCAATTGTCTTCTGATTAAAAAAAAAAAAAAAAC